GAGCCCGGCGGTACCAGCACGGGAGCCGAGCTGGCGGAGAGGGCCGGTCCCGATAAGGATGCGGAGTGCAAGGAGGAACTGCTGAAAGGCTACAGCTCTGAGAGCTTGGAGCAGGGCAGCGCCCTTCCCGACGGGAAGGACAAGACGCCGGGCAGGCAGCGCCGTTTCACCGGCGACTCGGGCATCGAGGTCTGCGTCTGCAACCGGGGCCACCACGACGGCGACCTCAAGGAGTTTAGCGGGCTCATCGACGATGCTCTGGAGGGGCCCCTGGACTTCTGCGACAGCTGCAGCGGCCGCCCCCACGGGGACGAGGAGGAAGGGCTTTTCAGTGCCGCCGAGGAGCAGCACCGCGAACACAGCCACCACCACCTGCCCCGGCAGCCGGTGTGCGTACTCTTGAACACAATAAACGAGCAGGACTCTCCGAACTCGTGTACCAACAGCTCCCCCAGCTAAGGCGGCGGAGCGCAAGGGAGAATCGGGGGAAGAAACAGTGAAATAAAAGCAGAATAAGAGGATTAAAACTTTAACAGGAGGAAAAGGTGATAGAACTTTTTTTAGTTTATTTTTCTTTTCCCCCTCCGATATAATTCGGGGACTAGTCCTCAAAGGCCCGGCTTGTGGGGGAGCGGGTCACTCTGGGTTTCATTAATCGCGTCCGTCCCGCTCTGCGGGGCAGGGACTGATGTTTCTCTCAATGAGACCTTCTAACAAATGGAATTTTCCCAATGGTGATTTTGGTGATGGTTATTAGGAGTTTGTTGGTTTTAGTTTTCTGAAGCACTGCTTTATCTCGCAATCAGTAAAGCTCAGCAGATCTCACCCTGGGAGGATACGAAATCACCATAAGGCTTCAACCTCCAGGTGTCTTCCCAGAAGCCAGCAGCTTCTGACAGTGCCGACAGTCAGTAGCCCAAGAGTTCTGGTTTGATATAGTGCTCTTGAGGCATTGGGGATTTCTTTTCATTTTAGCCTTTTTTTTTTGGGGGGTGGGGTGGAGTGGTGGTTTTTTTTGGTGTTGTTTTCCTAAAGCTGATGAAAGCCTGAACACATCAACCCTATAATCTCTGGTGCTTCAGTGTTTAAGACAACAGGTAGGAAATTTCCCACTTGAAGCTGGTAACTGAAAGACCAGCTTCTCCCAGAAGGAGTGTTTGTCTACCATAAGGACTTTGAAAATAAAGGGTGTTCAGGAATTTGCCTTTATATGTCATTTTTAAAGACAAGTGTATTCCTTCAATGCCTCCAAGAGCACAGTTAGAAGTAGAATCCAGGCAGCTGGGCTGCCTTCCAAGTACTGTGGTCTCCGAATGACCTTTTCCCGGTGTGCTGCAAAAGGGCTCGGCTTTATTTTCTTTCCTTTTTTTGCACCCTGAGAGCAGCACACTTGAGTTAAGATGACAAAACAAAGAACAGGGCTCTCTTTGGCCAGCGTGCCTTCAAGCTTCAGCGATGCATGTTGAACAAATGGAGACGAGAGCTCCGTCCATTGCGAAGGGATGACTTACCATGTAGATGTGGAAGACCTGTGCAGTATTTTTTTCTTGATCCAAAAGTTTGGTGCGATTCTAATGTTAGACCACTTAAAAGGAAATGAATGTCTGTTTTCTTTTTTCTTTTTTTTTTTTTTTTTTTTTTATGGTGGCATCTGGCTACTGTATAATGTCTGTGAGCGTGTGTGAGTGACTGCAATCCATGCATGCGAGTTCTACTGGTAATATGAAAGCCTGCTGTAAGACTGCAAGAAAATTTTCTGTAGCTTTGCTTTAATAAACGGTAGAGATTTTGTTAGTAACAATCTGAAGGGAAAAAAGAAAAAAAAAAAAAAGAAAAGATGAAACTAACATTCCCTGGAGTGCTCGTGTGGAAGAGAGCACAGTTCTGACTGTATATCCTGTTCTTGGGTTTTCTCCCCGCCCCTTTTATAATTATGGTCATCCAGGTCATTACTGTTATGGGGGGGAAAAAAAAAATTAAAACTGAACTCAGACATACTCAGATTTGATTGATTGAAAACCAAAATCAGTTTTAAATAAGGTGGAAACCAAAATACAATGCCTTTTCTGATAACTTGCCTGTGTCTGTGTGTATCATTTTGTGGGCTGAGAACAAGATTTGTCTTTAGTTTGTGGTTTGGTTTGGGTTTGTTTTTAGCTGGGCGGATGTAGCACTGTGCTGGATACAGATGACAGAGCAAGACGGGTGGCACTTGTTTCAGTGTTTTACCCCCACGTTTGAGGAGAGCACTTTTACTTTACACAGTGTAGGAGAATCTCAGTACTTTGCCTGGCCCAGCTTTCCTTTTCCATCAGAACAGCTGATGAAGGCAGCTCTTCACTTTGTGTCTTATGCTGCCTTTAAGAGCGAAGGATTGATTCAGGAGACCTGGTTCCTGGACGCCTGGAGCATGGGTGGTAGCAGGGGGGCTGTCCCTGCCCCGGAGCCAGGCTGGTGGCTGTGCACCGTGGCCGCCTGGGTGCTGGTCGCTCCCAGCTGCACTTGCCAGCCCTGTTTATCTTTTGACAGGAGAATTAAAGATCCCCAGTGCCACCCCCAAGAATTCTGTACGTATTGGCACCTGGCTTTGTGCCTCGCACCACAGAGGAAGCTAAAAATGCACATCGGTCCTTACAGCTGTAAATCCTGGGGTTGGCCCCATTACAGTGGGAGACCCTCTGCCAGCATTTCTGTTGGCATAGGACATTTGTGTTTGCTCTCCTGCCATCCCACTAACAGCAGGGGAACCCCCCTACTTCTCTGGATGTAGAGGTGAGTACCAGTAAGCTGAGCTGATGATTCTAATCTTAGAGTCACAATGAAGTAGTGGGGTGCCTGCTTTATGACTCCTGGAGGTTTTATCATGCTTTTAAAGACCATAAAGAACAAACAAGGCAGAAACCACATCTCTTAAGCTCACATATGCCCAAGGAGGAACAGGCCTTTGAGTGTGGCTCTTGGTGCTTCAGGCTTTTAGACGTGGACCAGGAGCAGCTGGTGGGGGTAAGAGGAGTGGTGCAGGACAGGACACTGGGCAGGTGAGCTCCTCAGAGACATCCTGGCTGGTGCCTCTGTTGGGGGAGTGGGAAAATGGGAGCAACACATGGGCAGGCAGAGGACTCAAAGCTCCATCTTTGGAGCTTGAGAAAGGTGCTTGATCCTCACATGTACTCCTTTGTAGAAAGCCAGCGCAGCCCAAATGGAGCTCTTCTCTGAGTGTGTGTTCTGAGTGTAAAGTGCTGTAGATGAGAGGACATGGGCAAGTGTGCATCTGTAACGCTAAGCACCAAACCCTATCCATTTCCAGCTATAAGGGGTGAGTGTTTTATGGGAATCATGAATACATCATTTTAAACCTGAGTTGCAAACAGTGCAGCACGATTGAGAGCATATTAGTGTCAATCTGCTGCTCGTTTTTCTTTACAACATGCTTTTAAGTGTCGATGCCAATAATTCTTGAAGTCTATTTTTGCTAGAGCCCGTGGCAGTGCAGCGCTGCTTACGCAGCATGTTCTCAGCTGCTGAAATTGGCTCCGAGGGCAAGGACCCGGCGGGCGTCCTGACGGGCTTGGGACGAGTCACCTGGGGACAGGCGCTGCAGAGCACCGCGCAGAGGCTCAGGAGAGGCTGCCCCAGGACCTGGGGGGGGGCCCCCCCAGCCCACCCAGCCGCTCCCGGTGCGTACTGCAGCGTCACCTCTGCGTTCCCCAGGGACTCTCTGGCTCCGACCAGGCAAATTTTCCCTCTGGGAACATCAGTACAATTTTCCTGCAGTGTATCGTGTGTTTGTACAACCCAGTGGAGGGGTGTTGGCTGAAGACGAGGCAGGGAATCATGTGTCTTGTTGCTTGCCGGCAGCCTGCTCTCAGAACTCGCACCTGCCTTGCTTGAGGCTGAGGAAAGCTGAGGTGTGGTTATGTTTCTGCTCCATGTAGTCATCAGAAACTTCCTGGGGCTGGAAACCTGAGCAAGCCTCCAAGGCAGAAGCAAACGCAGCAGGCTCTGCCGAAAGCGTGGGGCTGTGCTGGGAGCATTGGGCTCCCCGGGCATCCCTTGCTGCTCAGGGACGTGCGTCAGCACGAGAGTCTGGGCCGTGTTCGTTTCCTGCCCCGTGCGGCCCAGGCTCCCACAGCCCAATATCCTCTTCTCCTCCGCACGCCCCGTCCGGGCCCGTCCCGCGGTGACCCGCTCCCAGCAGGGCTTGGCTCCCGAGGATAAACTCGCCTTGCCTCTCCCCAAAGCCTGCTGCCTCCTGGCCCTCGCTCACCCTCCCTGTGCAACACAGCCCGGGCAGGTTTCTCCCCCAGTCTGCTGTTTTCTTCTTTTGTTTATGTAGGGGAAAGCCTGGACCGGGCTGGGAGCATCCCATGGCGGGTGGCCTGGGAAGGCCGGGATGAGTCACCTTGCTTCGTCAGAGCTGGTTCCCCTGTCCCTCGCCGCACGGATCTGTTTTTATCAGATGGGACTGGTGCCCACACGGCGGTGGTGCAGACGCTGCAGTCTCTGTGCCGGGAGGGGTCACAGGCTGCCGGGTGGTTTCGTGATTTGTTTTCGGCCGGGGAACAGCTGTGTCCCGGGGTTTGTGCTTACTCAGCTCGCCTGGCTCTGTGCCCGCCACAGAGCCCGCAGGTATTTCAAGCATCGCTCTCTCCTGCCCTGGCCGCGTCTCTAGCACAGCCCAGGACTGGCTGGTGCTTGCTGCAAAGTGAAGCCTCTCAAACACGGAGGGCTCCTGAGCTGAGCCCCATAGCACAGCTGGGTCAGCCGAGCGCTGTGGGGGTGGCTGTGCCCCCCAGAACAGATGCCATGGAATGGGCCAGGCTTGCTCTGCACAGCACCCTTGGGGCATGTCCCTGCAAGCTGCATGTTGGCTTCATGGGGTACCCAGGGTACAGTGTGGGAACAGCCATGAGTGGAAATGCTTCATCCTTTCCACTGTCTCTGATTCATCTCTTGCAGCCCCCCTTCACCACAAGGGAACGGAGCTGCTGGTTCCTGACCCCCTGAGCTGCCCTCTGAGCCCCTCAGCACCCCCTCTCTTCTGTTCTGGTTGCCCCCTGCAAAGACCCTGAGTGGCCCCAGAGGGAGGGCAGGGAGCCAGCATGGCCCAAGCCATTACAGCAGTGGCCAAAGCCTGTGTATTCCCAATGGCTGCCCACGCTCAGCTGCACAAATCCTGGTGGCAGGTGCCAAGGTCCTCCCCTGCTCTCCCATGGGCATGGCTGCCTCATCCTCCCAGTTTTTGGGTTGCTGGGCTGCCCAGAACCAGGTCTGAATGAAGCTGAAGGGCTCATCCAAGGTGATGGATTTGAGAGTCTTGAGTCTCAGGGGACCCTGACTTCTGCAGGGGGCTCAGGGAGGAAGGAGGGGGCTGCCCTGCTGCCAACAGCCTGGGTGAAGCTGCCTGGTTAGGGTCAGGGGTTTGGGCGCAGCAGCACAGCTCCAGAGCAGCTGTCAGGACATAAACACCAGCCAGATGATTCAGCAGTGTCTCTGCCCGTTCCCAGAGCAGGGAGCAGCCATGCCGGGGGCTGTTTACCAGCTCACAAGGTGCTGGGCAGCTGGTGCTGAGTGCTGCCCACCTCCCCTCCCACCCCAGCGGCATCGTCTCCTGGTCGGACGGTTGGGAAGAGGCAGGCTGGGGCAGGAGCAAGATGCCCCACAGTGGGGCTGGGCTCAGTGTGATGGAGTTTGTGGCACGTGGCTGGTCTCCAGGCCCAGGAACAGCACGTGCCAGCCCTGGTCAATGGGGAAACCCAGCTGGAGCATGAGCTTTGTGCAAGCATCTGCAGCTGGAGGTGTTCTCCAGTTTAGGAACATCCCCAGCCCTGACGTTCCCCTTTCTGCCTCGAGGTACTCGCTGGCCTTGAGTGCTCACTGTCAGAGCACACACTGCTGCGAGCGCCTTTGCAGCAGCAACGTGCACAAGGTGCTGGCCCTGTGCTGACTCTGGCAAGGAAGAAATCCCTTCCCTCACCGAGAGCAAA